TCATGTAGCTCCTATTAAGTCTTAATCTTGGGAGCTCCCTCCTCCTGCCCAGTGCCTGCCTGTTCAGCAAAGGTCCTTCCCTTTCTGGGTGTACTAAGAAATCCCTCACCGTCATGTCTCTCCATTTTCCAGTGCTCTTTCCTCTAGATTGCATCCTGCTGTCTGATCTTCTGCCCACTCATTTCCTCTTTTGTCGTTCCTACATGAAACCTACCTGCCTTCTCTGAGCCAAATACAGGAGGCGTGGGGGTTCACAGACAGAAGTCCTGTCCCTCAGGAGCTCCCAGTCCAGTGAAAGAGGACAATAGAATAGAGATGAGTGCATGGTGGAGAACCTAACCGAGGGCAGTAGAATCTCAGAAAGAGGACCAGCTTCAAAGGACCGGGGAGAGTCAGAGGAATCTTCTCTTCCCACAGGCGAAGGCCTCATGCTGACCCCTGAGGGAGTAGGAGTTTGCCAAACTTACAGGGAGAGAAGAGCATGCCAGGCAGAGGGAACAACATATGTACAGGCCCCGAGATGGCATAGTTAGGGAATTGCCAGTAGGAGAGAAATTCTCTTATCCAGCCCACTTGAAACCCAACCGGCAAATTCAAAGTTAAATAGGAAGATCATAAAATATGATGTGTATATGGCTTAAGATTTTTACTTTAGCTTAAAACATATAAACATACATTGATTTACTAACCTTTTATCCAAAGGATAAGAGCTTTACTTTGATTTGTCGTTGACTGATAGAAGTTCCTCATCGCCTTTCCTGCATTAATGCATTGTCCACCATTTCCACTTTCAATTTCTGTAAAGTTGGGCAGTGACATGAAGACACTTGTGAAGTTGCTAGAGTCCAGAATTTTTCTAGATTTTTATTATAATTTCCCAAGTTTTAAAAATTGACTGGCCTATACCTAATTTAATATCATGTTTTTATCAACTCACCTTTACTGAAGGCTTTCCATAGTGTCTGTAGAACCAGCAACTCCTTCCCCACCCATATTTCAGTGCTTAACATAATATTAGATCAAATTCTGTACTTAAGATTATAACTCACATGAACAGGCTTGCAGACACATTCTGACTCTAGGTGAGCATACTTTTCACCTAGTGGAAGAAGACATGTTTGGGTCTTCTAGAGAATAGCTTGAGAACTGTGAGTTTCAGTGTAATTTGGGTAATAGTCATCCCTGCCCTTGCCCCATCTGACTGCCAGCTCAGCTGAGCTGGAACCCACTCTTCCTTAGATTACAGCAGCCTGCAGGATTCTATCCAGGAAAGTCTTCAGGTGTTGTTCAAGATCCTGGCCATCCAAAAGTCAGGAGACTTAAACAAAGTAGCTTTGGAGTGGGTAACCATCATGCATAGCCTGAGTGAGTGCCGGCCTCTAGCTGGGTGAGTGGGCGGGACCTGAGGTGGGACAGCCTGGAGGGATGGGGTAAGAGGTGGGGTTTGGGTGGCGGGAGAGATCAGAAGGACAGAGTGAGGACCCCCTTCAGAGCCACTTCTTGGGCTGAGGTGACCAGGCGAAAGTTTATTCATGGCGAAAGTTTGCTGTCTTCCAAGCAAGATCCCTGGGTCCTGCTGAGTGTTTTGGGGGGGCATCCTGAGAGGTCAGGACCAGCTGGACCCCCTCGCAGAAGCTAAGCCCTAGTCTCCATCCAGTGTTCCTCTGGCTGCTCACACAGGTGCCCTGCTGGAGGTGTGGGTGACTTTCCAGCAGCAGTGGATTTTTCTGAATAAAGTTCTGCACGAGATGAAGATCGAGTTTCCTAGTCCTGACCTGGTAGGGAAAAAGAGTGAGGCAGGTGGACAAGGGCTACTGCGCTGTGGGGCTCAGGTGGGCGGGGAGAGCTGCCCTCACTTTTACCCCCTCTCTCACTGCAGAACTCCCGGTTCAAGGCCACGGATGATCAGTATCGGACCCTGATGCAGATCTCTGTGGATGACCCCCTGGTTCTGTCACTTATAGTGCCCAGGGTCAAGCGGAGCCCTCATTTCCAAGGGCAGCAGCTGCAGCAGCTGCTGCAAGCAGGCTCCGTGGAGCTGGAGGGCATCATTATGGCTCTGAAGAACGTGCTCTATGGTGTGTGTGCTCATTTCCCCCGCCTCTTCTTCCTCAGTGATAGTGAGCTGGTGGCCCTGCTGGCTGCCCCACTGGAGTCCTGTGAGGCTCAGCTGTGGGTAAGACGCTGCTTTCCTCATGTGCACGCTGTGAGCTTCACGTCCAGCCCACCTGACGAACACGTGGGTGGCCGGGAGGCAAGCCCCAACACATCGGCTCAGGTGGAGGCCCTGGCGGTGCTGGGGGCAGGTGGGGAGCAGGTGAAGCTGCAGAGGTCCGTTCCCCTGCATCCAGATCTCCCCAAGTGGCTGGCCTCCCTGGAGAAGTGTCTGCGTTCGGCACTAGTGCACAAGTTGCAGGGCTGTGTGGCTTCCCGCCTTGCTCTGGGCCCACCGATGGACGAGGCTTTCAAGCAGCTGCCCCAGAAAGACCAGCTGCCCCCACAGCTGTTCGCCCACCACTGGCTCCACCTAGTTCAGGCCTTCCCTTGGCAGTGTGTGCTGGTGGCTGAGGAAGTGCTGTGGCGGGCGGAGGTGGAGGAGGCTCTGCTCGGGGGGAGGGCCTCAGCCATGGTCCCCGTGCATGTGTGCAAGCTCGAGACACTGGTGCACTTTATACGGGCCCAGAGGGCCTCCCAGGGCGAGCAGCCCCTGGCTTCTGTCCGCCAGACCAGCCTGCTCAGTGCCCTGCTGGTCATGGCAGTGACTCACCGGGATATAGCACAGCTCCTGCAGGAGCACCAGGTCAGCGATCTGACAGATTTCCACTGGGCTCGCCAACTCAAATACCACCTGGGTTCACCTCACATCGTCCCCCAAAGCCCCCTGCAGAGTCTCAAGACCATTGCATCGGCTGCGAGTTCTCCGTCGCCAGCGGCGTGCTGGGTAGACGTGCTAGGCCGGTCCTTCCTGTACAATTATGAGTACCTGGGTCCCAGACTGGGGTCTCTGCCCAGCCTGCTGCCTGAGCGGCCAGCCCTGGTACTGCTGCTGGCCCTGGAGGAGGTGGCCTGTGGGACTCTGCTGGGCCCCGAGGGAGTAGGCAAGGCAGCCACGGCGAAGAGCCTGGCACGGGCCCTGGGGCGCCAGCTGGTGACGATGCCTTGCCTGCCTCAGATAGAGGCCCAGAGCCTAAGCAACTACCTGCATGGGGCCTTGCAGGGCGGTGCCTGGTTGCTGTTGGAAGCCGCCCAGCGCCTGCCCCCTGGCTTGCTCTCCGCCCTGGGCCGGCGCCTGGCTGACCTGCACCACCTCTATGCCCCGCTGTACCAGGAGGCCTCCCGCAGCATCAGCACCATGGACCCCACGCAACCCCAGCTCCTCGGCAGTGGCTTCTTTGAGAAACACCACGTATACGTGCGCCTTGGCTATGGCTCTCTCCTGACGCTGCGCTCCCTGAGCCCTGCCGTGCCTGCCAACCTGCGCTTGCTGCTGCGGCCTGTGGCCTTGACGCTGCCTGACCTGCAGCGAGTGGCAGAGCTGACCCTGCTGGGTGCAGGGATGCGGGATGCCTCCCGCATGGCTTCCTGCCTATCGAGATTCTTCGCCCTGGAGCTCGAGCTGGTGTCTGCGCCCCTGCCTTGCCGCTTGGCCCTGCTCCAGCACGTACTGGAAGACATGATACAGGATTTAAACACGACCAAGGAGGAGCCCAGGTCCCAGCAGGCCCACAGCCTGGCTGTGACCGAAGAGGCTGCCCTACTGCGTGCCCTGCTACGCTCACCGCTGTTCAGCATCCTCACTGGTATCCGCCTGCACAACCTCCAAGAGCTGCTCTGTGGGCTCTTCCCTAATGCCAGGCAGCTGTTGGCACAGCCTGTGGCCCACGCGCCGAGGAAGCCACTGCTGGTGGAGGAACTGCAGCAGATGGGCATTCATCCCAGCCCTGACAGTTTGGGGTCCCTGGAGCAGCTGAGCCAGGCTCTGGGCCGGGCTCTGGGTGTTTTGCTCCTGGGCCCTGCCGGCAGTGGCAAAACCACTTGTTGGCACAGCTTATTTAAGATCCAGAATCGGCTGGCGGCCAGGGAGGACGCCTCAACCCAGGGCTGCCAGCCGGTGGAGATCACGCACCTGTACCCCAATGTCCTCAGCCCCCAGGAGTTCCTGGGATGGCTAGAGGGCCCCTGCTGGCACCACGGCGTCTTCTCTAGGCTGCTGCGTACAGCCAGTCCGGGTAAGACTGTGGGCCCAAAGGGGCCACCACAGGAATCAGTGGGGACCCAGCACTGGATAATATGTGATGGGGTCGCCAGTGCGGCTTGGCTGGACTCCATCACCTGCCTCCTGAAAGACGCCCCCCAGCTCAGCCTCCCCAACGGTCAGCAGATAGCACGACCCCCAGGTACTTTTCTCCTGATGGAGGTGGGAGATGCAACAGGCGTGTCCCCCACAGTGGTGAGCCAGTGTGCCCTGGTCTGGTGTGGTGGGGAGCAGACGTGGCAGGGGATGCTTAGCGTCCTGATGGCAGCCCTGCCCCACGAGTACCGCCTGCAGCAACACACGGTCACCGAGCTCAACCACCTGGCCAAAGTGCTGGTGCCAGCGACGTTCCAGTTCCTCACCCGCCAGGGCGCCAGCTCTCTGCTGCATGTACATGGGCAGCAGGCCGTTTGCCCAGGTGTGGCTGAAGTCACCAGCCTGGCCCGTATCTTACGCTGTCTGCTGGACCCCTACCTGCGCATAGATGAGGGGCAGAAGGCACATATCTCAGGTGAAGGGAAGGGAAAGGGAAGGGACGGTTTGGAGATGAGGGGCCTTGAGGAGAGCTGGCAGAGAGCTGGTGCCTGGAGCATGGGTTCTTCGGTGGGCTTGGGCCAGGGGACCGGAAGTGGACAGTGACAGCCAATCTCTACTCTCTCCCCACCCCCCACCCCCACTTTTTCCTACCCGGGCTCCCATTCTGGCCATGGGGACCTTTGCAGAAGACCTCAGCCTTAGCGAGGTGGCCCAAAGCTTCAAGTCCTCAAAAAGCAGCTCTCTGAACTGGTCCCAGGTTGACAGTGATGATGTACCTAATCAGCGCAAGGAACATTTGCTGGCTGTCAGCAGCTTTCTTTTCGCATTGATCTGGGGCTTTGGAGCCCACCTTCCCTCCAGGTATCTGCAGGGGCGGGGCTGGGGGGGTGACGCGGAGGGCTGAGATGGACTGGCGCATGGGAGTTAAAAACCCAGGTGACATCACTGTCGGGGGCGGGTGGAGTGTGTGTCACAAATGGTACTGTTGTAACTGACACTTTTGCTCGTACACCCATCTGAACAGGCTCTGGCCCCTCTTTGATTCCTTCTTGAGGGGTTCTATTAGTTGCCTCTCCAACTATCCTGAGCCACCGCCTTCAGCCTTGGTGTTTGATCTACATGTGTGCCCTGATAATGGGACCCTGGTCCCCTTCACTGGCCATTACCTGGGCAGCTGCATCAGGGGAACTCTGGGCACCTTCCACCCTTCTCCGCAGGTGTGAAGACAGTGGGGCAGCAGCTGGGGTTGGGGCTCAAGGAGATATCCTGGGGGAGTCCATGTTCTCGGCCCAGCTAAGGCCCACCTGCTCCCGTTCTTTGATACGTTCTCACCATCACGAGAACATGTGAAGTGTTCTGCGAGTGCAGCTCTAAGCCGAGACCCCTAGACTTCGCTTTCAGCTAAATTACTCTCCTAAACTGGTGCTGCCCCAGTAAAGCCCTGCTCCTGTCCCACAGACTGAACGGCTCTTGTATGTGGTGGACCTGCTTCTGTCAGAGGGACACCCCGTGCTGCTGGCTGGAGAGGCGGCAACCGGGAAGTCCACCTTTGTGGAGGTGCTTGTGGGGCCCCAGCATCCGTACGTGCGCAGCCCCATCCACCCTGCCTTCACTCCCATCCACCTTCGCCTGCTGCTGAGTCGAGGGGCCCAGGGCCAAGCACAAGCTGCCCCATGGCCTGGGCAGCACGTGGATTCTAAGGGCTCCCTCCTCTTCCTGCTGGAGGATCTGCACCTGGCCGCTTCTGGTAAGGAGCTGGGTGGAGGGAAGGAAGGAGTCGTTGTGATCTCTTAAGGCTGTAAAATCCCTAATAATACTTGCTGACTCCCAATTAGACACCTACAGACCAAATCTCAGCATCCCATTCTTCGTATCTGCTCATATCTGCTCATTGTTCATGTGCTCCCCGAACAATCACACCATCTCTGTGTTTGGCTGCTAAATCTTTATCCCCAGGTCAGGCTTTTCTTCTAAGCACTAGACCTGTTTATCCAACTACTTACTGTGTATCTCTACCTTGTTGTCCCATTGGCACTTCAGACTCAACTCATCATCTTACCCCTAAAACCTGCTCCTGTCCTCTAAGTAACTAGTACAACCATCCATCCAGTCACTTAAGCTAGAAATCTTGTTGGCATCTCCCCCTTTCTTACCAAAGTCCATTCACTGTGTCTCTCAATTTGGCATTCTAAATATCTCTCAAATCTTTCCACTTATTTCCAGTCCATCTTCCCTGGTTCAGACAGTCATTACCCGGACCATTGGGAATGCTCTTGCAAGGCTCCTTGCGGTGAGGCTTTCTTCTCTAGGCTCTTACACTCTGTACTCTAACTGGACTCATCTATGTACAGGCATTCAGTAAGTGAAGCTTCCTCTAGCCTCTGGGATTGCTGTCCTCTCTGCCTTCCCTACTCTATTTATCTGGCTAGGTCCTTGTTCTTTACAAATAATCTTAGTCACTATCTTCTTCAGGAAACCTGAGCCTCCTGGCTAGGTTAGATACTCACCTTGTGTTCTGTACAAAAGTCTGTGACAACCATGGTTTTATGATCATATGTTCACTTGTTGATCTTTCCACTACACTCTGAGCTTCATGAGAAGAGAGATTTGTCTTACTCATTTTGATAGACTCAACAGGAAGCAAGTGCTCAGTAAGAGCTTGTAGAAGCAAAGATTAGAAAGGAAAGGGGAAATTGTGGTAAAAGTTTGGAATGTTGAAGTTTAAAGTTTCTAAAGTGGTGTGCTTCTAGATGGTGACAGGTTTGAATATGGCCATGGGAATGGGCAGAAATGGAGTCAGGGAAGTGAGTGGACTAAAGCATTAGCTGGATTGTCCAGTTAGACACTGAAGTCTTTTATGGGATGTAGAAAACTTGAATCAGGTGGTATACAATTTATTGAGGGCTATGTTCTGCACGTTTTATCTAGATCATCTTTAGTGTTTATAAAAGCCCATTAAGGTGGAGATTTGTTTGGGTGCCCGGGTGGCTCAGATGGTTAAGGGTCTGCTTTTGGCTCAGGTCCTGATCTCTAGGTCCTAGGATCGAGCCCCCATGGGGCTCCCTGGTCGGCGGGGAGTCTGCATTTCCCTCTCCCTCTGCCTCTCCCCCTGCTTGTGCTCTATCTCTCTCTCTCTCTCTCTCTCTCTCTCTAAAACGAATAAATAAAATCTTTAAAAAAGATGAAGATTTGTTATGATCATTTTAAAGATGAAGAAACTGAAAGATTTTATAACTTGCCCAAGACACTCTAGCCAGTAAGTGTCAGAACCAAGATTAAAATTTAAGTCTGTGTAGCACCAAAACCTGTAATTTTCTACAACTCTATTATTTGGGCCTTTCAGTGAATTTGCACAAATAATTTGTTATTGTCAGTGGACAATAGAAAGAGTAAATTCAGATCTGTGAATAGCAACTGAGAAGAGATTTCAACAGGAAGGTTGAAAACATTGCAAGTAGTGTTGTGGAGTGAAGTATATTACAGCCGGCAGCATAAAAGATATCCCAGGGTGACAGCCACTAAAACATCTAGTATAAAATAAAAAATTAATAAATGTACAACAAAACAAAAAACTGTGACCCACTGTCTGGAAAAAACAGTCAATAAAAACTGACCTTGAAATGGTCAAGAAGTTGAATCCAGCAAATATTTATAGCAGCTATTACAGCTATTATAAAAGTCCTCAGGTACTTAAAGGAAAATATGACCTGAATGAATGAACACATAGGTAATCTCTGCAAAGAAATGGAAACTACTAAAAATAACTAAACAGAAATTTTAGAAGTGGAAAATACAGTAACTGAAATGAAAAATTCACTGTATGGTTTAATAGCAGATTGGAGCTAGCAAAAGAAAGTCAGTGAATCCTGAAAAACAAAAAAATATTGAATATGAATAGAGCTCCATACACACACACACACACACACATACACACACACAACTGGAGTTCCAGAAGGAAAGGGGAGAGAATAGGGCAGAAAAAAAAAACCTGTGAGGAAATAATGATCAAAACTTCCCCAAATTTCTTGGAAAATACTGACTTTTCAGATATAGAAAGCTCAGTTATCCCCAAGTAAAATAATAAAAAGAAAACCATCCCTAGGCACATCATAGTCATGACCTGAGCCGAAGACAGAAGCTTAACCCACTGGGCCACCAGGCGCCCCATCCCACAGATTTTGATAACTTTTTTTTTCATTATTTTTTAGTTCAAAATATTTTCTAATTTACCCTGTGGTTTCTTGGATGCATGAGTTATTTAGAAGTG